GGCAGCCTCTCAGTGACTCTCTCATCATTGATGTTTCTATCTCTCTCTCCCCCCCTCCTTTCCTCTCTCTGAAATTAATAAAGATATGTTTAAAAAATATATAAAAAAATAAAATCAGTGGTTTCTTTGAAAATCAGCTGAACATAACTTCATTGTGTAAGTTGAAACTTTCTATAGCCACCAGCCTCGCAGAGAAGCCAGATCCTTTGCTGAAGCACAGCAGGTCAGGCAACAGAGGGTACTGATGAATGTGTATTTGTCCTCAGCCAAAGACCCAGATCATAAATTGGGTCTGGTATTGTTGGGTAACTAAAAGTCTTTTGGAATCCTTGTCTTGCCATTTGTTAGGATACTGGAAGGGTATTCATTAATGTGATTAGAGTATGTGGTTATCAAGGTGAGAGACTGAGTTTACTCCTAGTGGGTCTGTGATCTTTTAAGAGTCTCTTTGTTACCTTCTTACCACTTCTGCCCTCTCTTGCCTCAGTCTGTGCCTCCATGAGAGGTTACAGGGAAGTAAAGAGTATCTGCTTTGTCAGACTCCTCGGGCCTACCTTCACACCAACAGGACCTGATTAAACCATCTCTTATTAAATGGCAAGCCCATATGAGGTGAGGCACTTTAATCAATATCAGTAGGCCATTAATGAATATAATTTGTCACTATTTTACCTGGTTAAACCTTTAATTAGAGTCACAACTAGGGAGAAAACATGTAATAATCAGCATCTTCTTTGGTTTCTTAGAACTCAAAGTGCCTGAGTCTATCTAGGCCTAGTCTTTCCTTGCTCCAACTAATAGCTCAATTTAGATATTTATTTTTGACCCTGAACTTCACTCGTGCTAGATTGCTATAAAGATGTAACTTTATCCTCACTAGACCTCTGTAAAGTATGTGGTTATTATTCCTATTTTACAAAAGTGAAAACTGAAACTCAAAGGATTTTAAATGACCTCCCTTAGATGACTCATTGAGAGGAATGGAGTCTCCATGGGGCCCAAATGGGGTAATGTATGCTTCATCGGGTGGCTCTGTTTGTTACCTATTGCTTAAAACAGCAAACACTTGTCACCTCATAGATTCTGTGGGTCAGGAATTAGGGACCAGATTAGTGGGGTGGCTCTGACTCAGGGTCTATCAAGCTGTTGGTTGGGGTGCAGTCATCTGAAAACTTGACTGGGGCTGGAGGATCTGTTTCCTAGGTGACTGTCTCATGTGGCTATTGGCAGAAAGTCTTAGTTTCTTACTACATGGGCTTCCTCACAGGCTGTTTGAGCATTGTTCTAGCATGGCAGCCAAACCTCCACCAGAGTGTATGATCCCAGATAGAGCAAGAAAACCTTGTTGTCTTTTGTGAACTAGTATTTGAAGTTGTATACCTTTACTTCTGCTTTATTTTATTCATTAGAATCAAGTCACTATGTCGAGCCCACACTCCAGGGAAGGGAAGTTAGGCCCCGCTTCCTACAGGGAAAAATATCAGAGGATTATGGATGATTTAACAACCACTACAGGTGGACTCCAAACCCGAAGGAGCCCTTCTCTAGCCCCTGCTGACATGTGCTGAGATTCTTGCTCTGTGGCTCTGCTGTCCTGCTCAGCTGGTGAGGTAGAAATAGGCTTTCTGATTGAGCAGCTACCATAAAGGATAGAGAGAAGTGAAAAAAACTTTTCATTGACTCAAAGGCTAAAGTAATAGTTGTTATCATCACCCCCTATAAGGATAGAGTAACTCTCTGCTGATTACACTAGTGATATTTTCACCATCCTAAGAGTAAATATTGAAGGCATTGTTCTTTTGAGTACATTAGGTAGAGGAGATTTCCTAAGCTTCACTCCATACTATTTGCTAAATTGCAGAGAAAGCAGCAATAGATCTAATAATTTAGAACTCTTTTTGTAGGCTTATACTGTGTAAACATGGCCAACAAAATGTAGTGGAAGTTAGCTAAGTTCCTAGTGGCGATCTCCTAAACACCAAGTAAGGAGTGAAGACCGTCTCCACCCCTCTCTCCATGTCTTCATCTTCATGTCTCTTTCTTTTCAGAATACCCATTTTTTAGATGCTGTGCAGCCTTAAACCAACTGAACTTTTAGGTGTTTCCGATGTGTAATCTTGGAGATGGGTCCCCACGGCAAAAACTGATGGTACTTTTGGAATTAGTCAGATAACTGGGCCAGATTGGGTATTCTTTGTGGGGCAAAGAAGAATGAAAATGGGAAAATATCTCACATGTAAGCTGATTTTGGAAATTTGTATCTCCACCCTAGACGACTACCCTGAGCTCCAGACTTGATACTTAATTATCTATTTGACAGCTTCACTTGGTATTAAATATCTTAAACTTAACATTTCCTAAAATTTGAACTCCTGGTTTTTACTATCATCAGTTAGGGCATCCCCTCCACAAAAAACAAAATAAAAACAAACAACCCACCCTAATTATTCTGCAGTCTTCCTTATCTTAGTCGCTAACAACTCCATTCTTACAATTACTCAAGCCAAAAATCTTGGGATCATTCTTGACTCCTTTTTCTCTCAGATCCCACATCCAGTTCATTAACAAATATATTAACCTGTAAAATACATCCAGAATTTTCTCCCTTTTACCACTACTCCTGCCCACTTCCAAACCACCCCCTCTCTTGCCTGGATTACTGAAATAACACCGAATTAGTTTTGCTTCCACTATTGTTTCTCTACAACTGTCATCCACATAGTAGCAAGAGGCAGCCTGTTAAAACATACAGATCATTCCATACCTGCACTTTGCTATGCACCAGTAGCTTCCCAGATGACAGAGTAAATGCCAAAGTCATTTCACTGGCCTACAAAGTCCTGTCTCATCTGGGCTCCATTCTGATTTCTTCTGCCATCTTCCCCTTTCTTACTGTGTTTCAAAAAAAAGTCCCCCACGCTGCTCCTTATACATAATAAGCACATTTCTGCCTCAAGGCTTTTGTCTTTCCCTCTACTTGAAATTTTCCCCCCCAGAGATACAAGTGGCCTACTCTTATTTTTTCATGACTGCTAAAATTTACCTCATCACAAAGGCTTTCCCCCCACAACTCTCTCTCATATCTGGAATGTCGTGGGTGCTCAACATATGTTTGCCAGATGAATGAAACACAACTAGAGGCAAAATGTGATAGCTCTTCTGCTTGTTGTGTTGCCCAACTCTCCCATGATGGTGTTTTAGTTCATGTATGGCCATGGAGTTTACTCCTTGAAGTGCTTATGATGGTCTTTAGTATCTATTGACTGAAGAAATCTTTGAGGAAGGGTGATCACCAAGAAGTGACCCAGTACTGTGGGAGAAATTTGGCATGGTAGGAATAAGATCAAGCCAGCCTGACCCTCTCCCTTCTGTAGTGAGGAATTTTGCCTGGAAAAACAAAAAGACATTTCCTTTGTAACACCCTATTTAGAAAACACCTCACACTGAGTAGTATTGAACAGGCCTGTTTGGCAAGCAGTGGTTATAGAGACAGCTTGGGGCCTTGCTCAGTCCATTGCTGTCCAGGTGTTTCTGGAGCTGGCCTGGGAAGAACAGTCTGAGAGTAGCAGGATGTCGGATTATTTTAAGCCAAGAAAGCCAAGCCAGTCAGAGGGGGAACATGGGGTCGGCCCATGATATAATACATTTCCACAGACTTTTACAGTCTCAAAATGAATGTTTTTTTGACATCTTATTTATCTATCCAAGGACACTGGATGTAGGCAGGGGCTAGAATTATCTCCATTTGATAATGTGTATAGAACTGAAGCACAGAGTAATTAAAGAACCAGCAAAACTGGAATTTGGACCACGCCTATTGATTCTCTTTCCCATCTCAGCCAACAAAGTGATGTCTGGCCACTTTGAATTTATGCTTTCAGATTCCTGTAACTGGTGGAAAATATAGTTAAGATAAAAAAGGCCAGATTCAAAGAAGTAGCCTCCATCTCAGGCTTCTCAGATCCTTGAAACTTATCTAATTTTAAAATCACAGGTGCTGTTTCTTTTATCCTAAATGATCCCTAAAAGCAGAAAAGACTAACAGCCCCTAGCATGTCTAGAAATTCCCCTAAGATTGGGTTCATTGAGATTACTACAAATCAGATATACAAGTCAGATTCTTAAACTGTTAATAAAATCTCTTGGGCCCAGCTGGGCGTGGCTCAGCAGTTGAGCATTGACCTGTGATCCTGGAGATCTGTGATCTAGGAGAACGCCAGAGACCGCGGTTTGATTCCAGATCAGGGCACATGCCCTGGTTGTGGGCTGGATCCCCAGTTGGGGGCGTGCAAGAGGCAGCCAATCAGTGACGACTCTCTCATCATTGATGTTTCAACTCTCTCTCTCCCTCCCTATCTCTGAAATCAATAAAGATACATTTAAAAAAATAAAATAAAATCCCTTGGGACCCTGGTTGACTTTCCTGTTCCTTCCATTCTTCCCCTTGCAAAGACTAGTTTGCTGGATTTCCTCTTTCCTGGGAGAGCCTTGGCCATTGATACTCATCAGATAACTTTTCCAGGCATTCTTGTTTTTATATACCTTGTAGTAAGACTTGATTTTAGGTGTTTGATCTCAGAGATTCCTCATTTTCTTAAGGGAATATATGACATTGGACATAAAATACAATTTTTAGTGAGGGTGTTTTAAGAAAAACCATGACTGGTAGAGGAGATGATAATAGCTTCTGTTTTCATTTTCTTTAAAGGATGGTTTAATTTAGGGCAATTAAGCCTCTGCCCTCTTCGAGTAGGTTTACTTCACATACAGTAATCCTAATCCTGGTCTCTGCTTGGGCTGCTTTGGTGGACAGGAGGTGGGGGATGGAGGTTGGTTCTATTGTTCTATTCTTACCTGAAATGTATGTTATCAAAGCTGAATTTGAGGATGAACCTAAACACTGACTATATTAGAAGCAGGGCTCTGAGCCATTAGGTGGGGCCTTTGTATCCTGTTCAGAATTGGCTCCCATGGTAACTGTTTGACACTCTTTTTCACAGCTGCTCCTGATATCACTGGCCATAAACGGAGTGAGAATAAGAATGAAGGGCAGGATGCCATGATGTACTGCAAGTCAGTTGGCTATCCCCATCCAGAGTGGGTCTGGCGCAAGAAGGAGAATGGTCTGCTGGTGGTGAGTAGGAGGCAACCTGGGTGTCTGCTTATTCTCCTGGGGAGGTTCAGACATCTGGGCCAATTGCTACAACTGCCATACTGGCATGGCTTGGGTCACCCCTTCTAGAGTCATGAATGGTTACGTCATGAATCTGAAGGTCACTGACAGTTTCTGTACAGCATGGAATCCCTATAGGTGATTTGTTAAAGCTGTCCAGTAAGGGATTAGATGGCTTGTCTTTAACATAGAACACTGGAAGAGCTAACCCCAATCTTAAGCTTTTACTATTATTCTAGTCTGCTTATCCTAAAGAAAATATTATTTTTGAAGTGGTCTTAATTTTGGGGGGGAAGACAAGGCAGAGAATAATTATTAGTATATTCCTGGAACACAGGAAGTACAGATTAGAAATTGAGGCAACCTGATGAGGCCCAGAGGCAGTCTTAGACATTGGAAATCTGACAGTATCTGGTCCAGAAAAAAATACCTTTTCTAATTTGTGGCATGACTCTTTTTTTTTTTTTAATCCTCACTCGGAGACATGTTTTTTTATTGAATATTTTTTCAAGAGAGAGAAACATGGATTATTTGCCTCCTATACATGCCCCAAACAGGGATCAAATCTGAAACCTACGTTTTTACCCTGACCAGGAATCGAACCCCACAACCTTTCTGTGCACAGGATGATGCTCCAGTCAACTGAGCTACCCGGCCAGCACCTGTGGCATGATTCTCGATGATACTGGGAAAGGGAAAGCTTTAGACTCTTAGCTTCTCTGATTCACTGATGTTTGGCCAGTCTCCTTTTCTATCAGAGGGGTGTCATATACATTCCTCCTGTCCCCAGGCCTTATATGCCCAGCACTATACTCAGGCATCTTTGTTAATTATCAGTCTTCAGAAGGACCTAGAGACCATCAAATCCAGCTTCTTCAGAAAAGGTTACCTGTTAACCAAGGTAAATTAGTGACAAAACCAAGGATCAAATCCACTTTTTAAAATATAAGTCCATTTTTCTTCATACTCCATGTCCTCTCAATAATAATAATATGGACTCTTAACGTGACTAGATTTCAGAAACCCTTTAATAAGGGGATTAGGATGAGGAATGGAGAGGTGAAGATGCTATGTTGAATCTTTTCAGAGCAGGCCCTGAAAGAGCAACAAAACATTTAGAATTTTGCAGTGCTGGCAAGGAAATGCCCATTTTTCTTTATTGGTCCCTGGTGGGAGGACCCTTGAGCTTTTTTCAGAGCAGGTTGGGGGTTCCTTAGTGGGTATTTTTGTGTCCTGTTCTCATGACCACGAAGTATCTGTTATATTTTGAAAAACGTTTAAAATCAAACATTGTTATTTCCTCTTGCTTTCAAACTACATATCATAGGTTAATGCCTTTGAAAACCATTTTGTTGATCAGCCTAAACTTGGTTGAGTGCTGAGATAAAATGCTTTCAAGTTTTTCTAGATACTTATTTCAGCAGTTCTTTAACTTCTGTTTCTGGACAAATCCCATAGTTTTCTTAGATCTCTTTGTTGTTAAAGAGTTTAGTCCAGTCCATTCCAAAATCCCAGTTTTATCTTCCATACCCTCTCCCCTGGCCTGCAAGAGGAGCGGAGGATTGTCCACCCTCTGTTTTCAGGGTTCTTTCTTCTGTGTGGGAGCCAGGGACATGTATCACTCATATGACTTTTCTTGTAGTCCATTCTTGGTGGTTGCTGCTTCTGTGGCCTCAGCTGACTAGCTTCTGTGTGGCAGGTCCAGTTGCTGGCTCTTGTGGGAACTGTGTGAGTTCTTTAGGGGCCAGTTTTCGGATATGAGAGATCCAGTCTGAGTGAACTTCTCTGATTCTTCTTTAGCTCCAGCCATAGGTGATCTAGTCTTGAGCTTCTCACTACTGGGGTCTGCTCACCTAGAAGGCACCCCCTTACTTGGAGGAAGTTTAAACGTCATGGCTCTTCACATGTGGGAATGTGGGCCACTCTGCCTTCATATATCCAAGTAACTCTTTTCCAATATCAAGAAGCATAGGGCACATCACCCAGCCTCCTGCCTAAACAGATATCTACTGGAAGAGGAGATATTTTCTGTTTCGTCCCCCGCCTCCCTCCAGTCTCTGAGTGATTCTCTTGGTGCCTGTTCCACTTGGCTATAGGATGGAAGGCTATAATGCCAAATGTCACTCTTTTCCTATCACCTCTGGTCTTGTCTTCTCTTTTATAGACTGGGAAGGGGTAATGTGATTTAGGTGATGACTGGGGACAAGGTAACCTGATAGGTCTCCCTTTCAGTAAGTCCTGGAAGGACTATTTGCCCCACTATTTGTTTGAACCTCTGTTTTTTAAGACGGGGGGTGGGGTGGGGGTGGGGGTGGTATTTTATGCCTCTCTCCATAGTCATCAATTCTGTGGCAGTAGGACAAATCACAGTCAATATCTTAAAATGCATTGATTGAAAAACATGAAACTAGTGAGCAAGTAGAGCAGGAGTTGTAGAAAGTTAGCAGCTTTCCAAGTCCTAGAGTTGAAGCTTCACAGAGTCACTATTTTGAAGGCTGTGAGTTCCCCATTTCAGCCATACTCACATTCAGATGAAGAGACGATTGTGTGCTATAGCTAGACATCATTCTGGAGATTATCTTCCCCTTTCTGATTATGCTTTAGTTCTTGTGTAACAACTGACATGAGTCAGTTTTTTCTTGCCAGCCTCCCATGAGATCAGTGCTGCAAGCCTATCCCACTCCTCCCAGATCTCTGCTCATGCACTCTCCTCTGCCTCCCCATGTCCTAGAGCATTCCTGTCCTACTTGATCAACTCTTCTCCCCCACAATCTCGTTCAAATGTTAGCTGTTCTCTGAAGCTTTCCCCGACTTTCTGGCAGTGGTCACTCACTGTATATGCTGTGCCACACTGTAATTCTATACATACCCTCTTTTGGGGCTTTTCCCCATGTTCCTGTAACTATCCCTTTGGAGGTCTGGTTCTCTCTTGAAGCCAACCTCCTTGTTCATTTTTGTGTCAGACTTTTTTCCTTTCTATGTCACCTTCCCCTTAGTAGGATATAAAACAAATAGTGTGTATTAGTAAATACTTGTTCATTGATTGAATACACTTTCCTTTTACCCTGTAATTCTGAAAGGAAAGGGAAATTATGAGTTTCCCCAACTCTGATTGGGAGCACGTTCTTAGCATTGTTTCTGGAGGAGGTTTTCCTGATATCACCAAGGTGAAGTGGAAGTGCTGACTCTAAAGCCATCAGACAGGCCAGGGTTACTAGACATGACTAATGTGGAGGTCACATGCCTCTTTCTCCATCCTCTTCCTGTTAACGTTACTTAACTGGTGTTTGAAGCAGCATTTTCTCTATTGAGTCAGTCTTTTCCATGTCTACAGAGTAGGACCTCCATTCACTCAGGGAAGGTGGAAAAGCCTGGAGGACCAACATTAGGGAGGCTTTTACTCTGGCTCTATCAGAAACTTGATTGTTTATTGTTGATATCAAAGTCAGTAATGAAGTGCTCAAAGTTCCTTGGATGAAATTGGTACTAGACACCATTCCGTCATCCCAGCTAGTGTCCTGCTAAGAATGGGTGTGACATCACTCTGTCTTGGGCACTAAGTCACTTATTCTCATCTTTGTGTATTCTCACTTTTTCTGCCCCTGAGCAGGAGATTGCCAATATATCTGGCCGCTTCTTCATCATCAACAAGGAAAATTACACTGAACTGAGCATCATGAACCTCCAGATCACAGAGGACCCTGGCGAGTATGAATGTAATGCCACCAACTCCATTGGCTCTGCCTCTGTCGTCACCATCCTCAGGGTACGCAGCCACCTGGCCCCACTCTGGCCTTTCTTGGGAATCCTGGCTGAAATCATCATCCTTGTGGTGATCATTGTTGTGTATGAGAAGAGAAAGAGGCCAGATGAAGTTCCTGATGGTAAGAGCATCCCTACAAAATAGCTATAATGTTGAGGTGGTTTTGTTGGGTGGTGTGTAAGGATGTTGGGATTCAATCCCAAAAGGAGAGAAGGAAAACTCTTTTACTGGTTTCTCCTCCACTACCCCTAAGATTAGGCATCTAGAGCTATAATTATTAGCTCTGTCCTTCCACATGGATGTTCTTCAGCTCCCAGTCCTACCTGCCCTTTAGACCCCATGTGGGGAATGGGCAGTTGTCAGTTTTTTTGTTCAGCTCTGTCCTCCTTCAATACAGATCATCAGGCAGATTGAGCTTGAGGAGAATCCAAGTCAAGCCTAGAAGCCACCCCAAGATCGCAGGCCATCTGGCCTTTCAGGCAGATTTAAGGTATCTAATTGGTTGTCACATGGTTGCCTGGTGTTGTCCCTATAGGTCACTGCCCAAGTTTAGTTAGACTGTTTTTGGGAAGAGTTATTGGAACAAGCCAGCCTTTGGTTCCCTTGGTTGGTTCTTTCAATAGGTTTCCAAAGTTCTTGGTGAAGCCAGCACCTACTGTTTGACTTTTCTGTGTCTCACAAGAATGGTGGAGAGCATCTGATGCATCCATATCCCCCACCCCAGCCCCAAGCAGTAACACCTGGAGTTCATACCAAAGGCCACACCCTCAAGGTGACCTAGTGTCAGAGAAGGGTTCATCATAGCAACAGAACTATAGAGAATTGTTAAGCATTGGAAAGAACAAGAATCTTAGATTGTTGGACATGCTTAGAATCAGGAAAGTCCTGGGACATTTTTGTATGTTTTTTGTTATAAATGTTCCATTTCTAACCCTGTGATTACAATTAGGGGGAAGCTACCAATGGACACTTGTATCAGTAGTTCTTCAGATTTCTAACTTCTAACTAGCTCCCCATCCCCATCCTCCTGCCCTATAACATCACGAGTAAAAACAAATTAATTGGCCAGCCAGCTATTACCACCACTTGCCTGTCACTGACTAGACTAGAAGGGCATGTACCTAAGCTCAGTGGAGGCCAACTGAGTGATGTGAAGATGCCAGCTCTAGTCCAACTGTCCTGGGCTTGTGCTTGTGCACTGTGGTATTGTTCTCTGCCCCACAGAGGTGTCTTTGCCATCCCTATGGTTGACCAGTGGGACTGCGCCACTCACCCTGTGTGCCAGGGAGAACACTAAGGGAGGTCTGTGCTCCCACAGAAAGAGTGCAGCCCTGAAGGTGTGCAGTGAATACCAACTCTCTGGAAGGGCAGGTTTGAGAGCAAGAGCCATTTCCCCTTCTTTTCCTTTCTTCTTGGCAGCCTCAAATTCTCTTTGCCTGTACTAAGTAGAGTGAGTATCAGAGTGAGGCTGGTGGAAAGGTTTTTTGTTAAAACTAACGATGCATGCGGAAAGACCTGGTGGACTCTCCTCCAGATGTACATTCAGCAATGAACTAGATGGAGTGATGGGATAGACCTCAGAACTAGATGGAGGGATGGGATAGACCTCAGCTGAAAGCAGGTGGGCCTTTGTAAATAACTGGGCCAGTTCCCTGCAACATAAGAGTGTTTCCAGGATTTTGACTTTGTTTCTCGTAGATCCATAGAACTGCTGTTCCATGAAGTGAAACTGCTTTCTTGAAGTTTTCATATATGTATTATGCTTTTCCTCTAGATTTTTCTCTTTCCTGTGCCAAACTAGGACTCCCAAGGCAGAGTTACCTGTATTTAGAACTGAGAGTAAAGGGAGTAGTTGACTATATGGTTTCAGTGTTGGCTCTTTGGAAGCAGCTATGCCTTACTCCCAAAAAGGCCTTTTTTTATCCCCTCAGAATACTTTTGAGTTGCTAAGTATTACCTTTATCAGCCTTCCTATTGTAAATTTTGAGAAGCAAAAAATTGGTTAGGAAAAGGCAAGGATGGGCTTTAAAACCAGGTTTTTTTCATTTTAAGAGGAGGCTGGCTGCCACTCTCTTGGCAGAGTGGCACTGGCTTAGCACGCATCCCAGGCAGAAGTTCCCAGTCTTCTGGTGGGAAGCACTTCTTTTACCAGGCTGCTCTCCAGCATATGTGGAAGGCCTTCAGGTTGGTTTTAAGAAATGTATAGTACTATTTTGATCGGACATATGCTCACACCTGCTCAGGGAAGCAGCTCTTTTTTGAAGAGCTCCCTGGTGGTTGAACTCAGATGGGGCTAGTTTGTTATAGCAGACATCTGTGGCCAGCAAATCTTCTGCACAGCCTCTTACCTCTTTTAAGCTAAATTATTATAGACAGTGAATGAATCCTACCTAAAAGAGATGACTACATGGTAAGTGCAAAGTAAAACCTCCTTGTTCCAGTCTCTTGGAAGAATAATGCAAGCAGCTTTTCCTTCTTTGTTGTTGAATTGGGGTGAAAAATCTGGGATGCTGAAGTGACTACAATGTTTGCCTTCTCTACATTCCCTCCCTTACGGCCAGAGTGGTCCAGGCTTCATTGTCCATCTCCATTTTCCTGCCCTTGCTCCAGCATTTCCATCCCATAGTTTTCTCTTTTGTGTGTCTACTTTCTTCTCTCAACTCCTCGCTTCACCTGCCCCTCTTTTTTCTTCTTCTGTCCTGGAAGTAATCATTAAAAAAAAAAAGGTTGCCTGGCCAGGCGTGGCTCAGCGGTTGAGCGTCGACCTAGGATCCAGGTGATTGGGGTTCGATTCCCTGTCAGGGCACATGCCCAGGTTGCGGGCTCGATCACTGGCTCTCTCTCTCATCACTGATGTTTCTGTCTCTCTCCCTCTCCTTTCCTCTCTCTGAAATCAATAAAGATATATTAAAAAAAAAAAAAAAAAAAAGTTTAGTCTCAGTGAGTTTTCCTGATGTTGTGGCTTTTCCTTTTTCAGCCAGTTTCCCCTCAACTCCTACATAATTCGTGTAAGAGCAGACTCAGTGCATATGCTTTCTTCCAGTATGCCCTCCCCCAACTCATATGTAGACATATGCATACACTCCTTTTTGGAATGAATGATTTCAAAACGATGTCTAATACAAATTTGGAGTTTTAGAGATGAGTTTTTATCTATCAGATAACCAACCATCAGTGGCTCTCTGTTGGAGTTATTTATACTACAGTCAAACCTTGGTTCTCAAAAGACTCCCATCTGGAACAGTTTGGCTCTCGACCAAGTTTGAGTTGTCAGACAAAACTTTGGTTCTCAACCTGACAACCCTTTCATGCTGATATATCAGCATGACAAAAAGTGTCTCTCAGGCCACAAACAAGGGAGAGAATGTACTAGTATGAGTCAGTTTACCACTAAACCTCCTCTTGTTAACATCTCAGGAAATTGTGTTATGAATATTTTCTCTCTTTTTTTTTGCTTTTGTTGCTGGCCAAAAGGATGATGAGCACAATTTTAAAACATAAAGAGGCCATCAAGAGCGCTGATGTTGCTAAGGATGTGAAAGTGCTCACAAAACAATGACCACAGGCAGTTGAAGAGGTTGGAAAATTGTTGATTTGAATAACAGTTTTACCTGTGATAGCTTTTCGGAGGCAATGATATATGAAAAAGCAAAGATGCTGCATGCTGACCTCCTGAAAGACACCTCTGGAACGAGTGCTGAAAATGATTCATTTAAGGCTAGTAGGGGGTAGTTTGATAAATTTAAGAAGTATTTGTTTATAGATTAAGCAGTACATTAGACATGTACTGTATATAAGAAAGGTTAAAACAGAATCATTTGGGTGTCTGGAATAGATTAATTTAATTTTCCCCATTATTTCTAATGGGGAAAAATGATTCAATTTTCAAAAAAATTGCTTCTTGAGCAGCCTTCCTGAGCAAATTAAGTTCCAGAACCGAGGTTCCACTGTATTATGAAAATGGATTTTTATAGGCCTGACATGCTTTTTCTCTGTCAAATAGGTACTTCATTACCAAGATATCTATGATTTAATTCTGATTCACTGAACGTTTTTCATATTAAAAATTCATATAAAACTCATAGTATTTATGGGGGGGGCATTTGTGAGTTCTTGATAACTCAGCCCATTATTAAAAAAGCACTAAGTGAACATTACAAAAGTATAAACACAAATTTGAACTTGAGTTTAGTGTAAATGTTTTACTAAAAACGCAAATATTGCTTTAGATTTCTCACATAGAAAATGCTGAGGTTAACATTTAGCTGCTTCCAGAAAAAAAGGGTGGAGGGCGTGTGTTTTTGTTTATTGGAGTATACTCAGGATATCTTACAAGTGAAACACATCTAAATCCCTTTAGGCCCCTGTTACGATCTCTGAGGATTAGGGAACAGTAGGCTATCTTATAAGTAGATTTGCAAATCACCTTTTACCTTCAGTGTTTTCAGTAACATGGAGCCAAATAAGGCCTGTTTTTTTTTGTTTTTCACTTTACTCACCTCTTGACTATATTCTGTGAAAACGTGAAATGGTAATACTCTAAAAGACTAGGTCCAGCCAGCATTCTTCTAGCCTTCCATCCATCTTTATAGCAGGACATATGCTTGAAGCACATCTTCTGTGTGGGTTCCCTGCTGACTAAATCCAGAGAGTGTTATGTGTGCTTTCAGGTCCCCTTCCCAAACCCCTGAGGAGGTAGGGGTGGATCTGCTTAGTTGTGGGGGCCTTTCAGGTTACTGGACATTTCAGTGATCTCAAATGAAATTTAGGGAAAGTGCTAATATCAAACAGTTTTCTACTTTCACAGTGGGATAATTTTTATAAGCCAGTCAAAGGCCCTCTTCCTTTAAGTTACTGATAGAGAAGATATTTGGGGTAGGGGGTGTGTTTTTAGTGGCTCTGATATATCCAAACTCTAAAATCTATTAGTTGGGTAATACATTTGGTAGCATATGAAGCTTTACAATAGGCCAGGAATGTTGAAAAAGAAATGTGATTTTAAAATAATATATATATATATCTTTTTTTATTGATTTGAGAGAGAGAGGAAGGGAGAGGGAGAGCGAACGATCAGTCGGCTGCCTCCTGCATGCCCCTGACTGGGGATTGAGCCCGCAACCCAGGCATGTGCCCTGACCGGGAATCGAACCAGCAGCTTCTTGTTGCATGGAACAACTCTCAACCAACTGAGCCACACTGGCCAGGGCAAGAATTGTGACTTTTTAAGAAGACATGTAGAACACTCATTAGTCTCTTAATTAAGGGTCATTTGGATCAGTAACAAGTTACCTTATGGAGAAATACAATAGGACTGAACAAGGAAGGAAATTGGAAGGAACTAATCTCTCTTGGTTAATCAACTCTGCTCTAGTCAGGCAGAATTTAAGTGGTTTAAAAACCATAAAACTCCATCCTTAGTGAAATGAAGGCAGTGAAAAAGGAGCTTTGACCAGACAGTCCACTCTTGGTCATTTTGACTTTAAAGCCATCTTTTTGAGGTGATACTGTATCAGGCAATCTGTTCTTTACTAGGCAGGCAGAGTTACCTCCATATTGTGAGGCGAACCTGGGGGCAATGGAGTGAGGGCTACAGTGCCTTCTTTTGGGAAGGCCAGATGCAGAGAAGTCGGTGTGTGCAGCAGCTCCACCGGGAACTTCACCCGCAAGGCAGACTCCGGACGCATCGTGTTCCATTCTCCCCTAGTCCTCTTCCTCTCATCTAGCCAGTGGCTGTAATACCCAGGTGGAGAGAACAGTCATTGTTTAAGCCGCTCTTTTAGCCTGAGGGTTTGGGGGTATGTTGATATTTGTCGGTTACTATGACTTCTTTTTTTTCCCCCCTCAATTGCATCAAACCCTTAAAACATGGTGGTAAGTGAGCGATATGCATGCTTTTGGAGTTTGTTTAATCTCCGCTTCAGTCTATACAGTGCACAGTTCATAATGTTAACACTTTTCTTCAAGTTTAATTCATTCACTTTCACAACTAATTTGGATTTCAGTTTGCTGTTTAATCCTCATTTACTTTGATTTTTGTACCTTTTTTCTGTAGTTCTGTTCTTTCCCTCTTTCCTGATTTCCCTGTGAGGGGTCAAGTTGTTTTTTGTCTGACCTGTATGGAAGAGTGGTGCTGCTGATAGTGATTTAGTCCAGGAACATAGGGGACACAAGGCTGTTTTGCTTCTTGTAAATGTGAAAATGGATTTGGGGAGAGAGATGACGGGGCTCATGAAATATAGACACGAGTGTGAACAACAGCTGCTCCCCCTCGCAGGCATGGCAGCTACACAGAGCCACTGTTGCTACAACCCCTACTGCAGCCCTTTGCACGTTATGGGCTGGATGTTCCTCAGGCACCAGGGCACCCCTGCAAAAGAAAAAAAAGCTGTGGTGTGATGGGCTGGAGTTGGTGCTGACAGTGTCATGCTTTGAAAAGAATTAGTTTGGCTATTGCGATTCCCCCTCCCCTGCTTTTTCTTTTAAAGNGACAGTGTCATGCTTTGAAAAGAATTAGTTTGGCTATTGCGATTCCCCCTCCCCTGCTTTTTCTTGGGATAGATTGGTGATATTCTTGAATCAGCTATCTTGCTTGAAAATTTTGTATTTTGGGGCTCACAGCCAGAGCACTACAACTATTCTGAGTTTGCTCCAGTGTCTTTTAAGTCCCCGAGTGCTTAGTTCCCAGCATGTAGCTGAGCTGGCTTGGCGGGGATGCTGAGAGCATTAGGGTGCTGTGGTGAGGGAGGACTTAGGCCGGGCTTGTGTGTTAGTACTGCCGTGTCTGTATATCTGCACTGCGTACACAGCACACAGATGACTTGGTTGTCCTTAAGTCTTAGTTTGTTCTCTGTATATGTTTGATAGTACTGTTGTCAGTAGTAGAGTCCTGTGGACACTGGTGTGTCGCTAGCCTGTTGTTTTGGCTGATAAGTTGTTGGTTTGTGGTTAGTTTTTTGTTTTGTTTTTTAAAACTTTTTTTGCCCCAGTCACTGTGTGTGCTGGCAGTGGCTTGCCTCTCCGTTGCCTCAAAGGAACAGGTGGAGCAATGTCTCCCTCTGACAGACATTCCTCCTGATGTGTGCTCCTGCAGACGCCTGCACCGAGACTGTAATCTCCATAACTGCTTCATGTGCACCAAAGCCCCCTTGTGGAATCCTGCTGAGAGTTTTTCTAGAAGCCTTCAGTGAAATCAAACCGTTCTGAATTATTTAGCCTACCTGACTTTTGTAAAATAAGAAACTAAGAGCACTTGCTTGTTCCTTCCTCTTTGTGGGCCTTTAAAAAAATTTTTACATATGTATATCCCTGCTTAAATGGGATAAAGTTGCCCTTAGTTGAAACAGGAAAGAAAATTAGAAATCAGAATAAAAAAATACCTATTTAAGAAGGCTTCTAAACTCAGATAATGGAAGCTTTTTGATTAAAAAAGAAAAGATATCTGGCTCATCTGGGTTTGGGTTCTGGCTTTGGCCAGGGCACAAGAGCCTGTCCGTATCTGAAGTCTTTTCCAGAGTGATGTCACCACTATTCAGCTTTCCCTGCTGTGTCACAGAACATCCTCTTGTTGCATACACTTGTTGCTGGCATAGCCCAGCCTGGCTGATCCAGTATTAGGTTGAACTATTGTGGCTTCCTCTTTCTCAATCTTGTTCTACAGACTAAAGATCAAAACAGCAAGAACAGTGTCTTTCGGGGAAGTGAGGATGTGTGGCTAAATGTACACATCCATCTGCATCGTAGGATTGAACTAAAATTGTACATGCATTCACCATAAGAAAACAAACAGCAGGATTTTACAACTGAAATGTTGGTTTGTCTTCTCATTTATTTAAGAGTGAACCACTGGAACTTGGGGACAAGATGAGTACAATGACATTGCAGCCTATCTGTCCGCTATAGTTGCAGTTTTTCATGATAAGCATTCGAAGTGTTAACTAAAACCATTGAAACAACATACCTGCCATTAAAAACTCAAATCTAGAAATAATAACTCCATGAGTGTTTTGCACCTCCAGACGGAATGGCCTTGAATAAATGCTATGAATAGCTATGTTTGCCACTTGCCAATTGCTGCTCTATTAATCCGTATGTAGAGTCTCACAGTTTTCTCCTTTCTTCTTCTCTCAATGGATTATTAAAAACTGAACGCCTGTGTAGACGATGAACCAGCTGGGCCGATGTAAGTACTTTATTGGACATTGATTGGCTTCGGATTGAATTATTTTGCATTCATGTTTTAGTCAAATGGAGTAGCTAAGATTGTAGGGAAGACAGAGTGGAGATGAATGTTGCAGTGCAGGCTTTGCAGCCTGACTTGATTTCCAGGATAGGCTGTTTCAGTAGCAATATAAAGTGGTATGCCATGCAAAAGATTGTTTAAATTTTTGCCTATCCCATATGTTTAAATTGATACTTTGGGTAAATGACCAGTATATCTGGGACTTCAGGTTCCATAAATAAACTCTTCGGCTCCATTAACAAGTCTGTATCCAGGAGAGGGAACTACAAATTTGGATCAATCCAGGATTAGAATTTCCTGCAGTGGTGGACCAAACAGTACCCAAAGTCGTACGTGCCAGAGGGCACAGGGCTGCCTCTGTATAATTTTCATTTATCATTTGAGGAAAGAATGATGCTCAGTAGGGGGAAAAAAAATACTATTTAATCTTTATAGTAATTATAGTTTACAAATCAAAGGGAAAGTTACCTGTATATTGTTTGACTTGGGAGTCAAAAGGATGTATTAATTGAAGGTATGTAGGTACTTTATCCAGGGAATATTTTTATGTACTAATACTGTGCAGTAAACTTAACTACACCAGGGATGGAGTAGGTGAAAGAGTCCCTGTATTTCCATGTGTTACACTTTCAAAAGTTGCTATTGACTGAGTTTAACTCTTGTAATATAATTTTTCCTCCAAAGGAAAACGAACTCTACCAACAATCACAAAGATAAAAACTTGCGCCAGAGAAACACAAATTAAGTACTACTTACAGTGTAAGTATGGCCTTCTTTAGAAGTTTTAAAAATTATATTGAAATGAACGTGGCTCTGTTGACCTTGTTACAAATTCTTCAGTACTTGTTAGGCTGCAAGATCTTTTCGTTCATTTCAGAGCAGTTCATGCTGATGGAACCCAGTAGCAGCTGGAAAGGACCTTTTTTCAGCTGTCTTGTTTCACATATTTTTATAAACACCATTTCAGAATACGTATGATGTTTCAAAATAACACTATGTGCTACTGTTTACTTATATTTTTTAAAAGAGGTAAAGATTAAATTGTCACCTTGCTAGGTGGGATATTCCCAGAGTTCATTTAGTCCCCCTCTGCTTCTTTGGGCAAGGAAGGCAAGACTGGTAGCCAGGACAGCTGGCCCAGTGCCTTCCGGGTGGTCGGGCACATGGAGATCAGAATTTCACACCGCATCCCTGAGCATGCTGTTTGAAACAAAGCCTTGTTTTATGTGGCACTTGGTTAAGTGACAGTGCACACTCCCTTTTAATTTCCAAATACTTGTCTGTTTTTTACAGATCTTTAGGTTCCTGAAACTGGTGGCAACATGACCTGCTAAGTTTTCTGCTTGGACCTCTTTGGTTCCCTCCCCTTTAAGTGAGCAACACCACGACTGTCTAAAGCATGCCTTATTTAGCCTCTCCTGTATAATGGGTGACCTAGCAGGTACATTTCAAACAATGCTTCAGTGTAGAAGGTGTCAACTATTTTGGGCTTGATGTGCTGTGAATGTTGCTTCCTTTTTCTTTATTAAAATATTTAAATAGAAGTGAAAAGGTCCTCTGAGGATTGGATCATGCATGCGCCATTTTCTACTTACTGCAGCTGTTAATTTGGCAAAGCTCTAAAATGCACTGCTGCCATCTAGTGATACATTTTTGTAAAGTACAGCAAAACCTACAGATAAATACAGTATATAAATATATATATTTATATTTTTGGGTGTGGGGGAAATACAAAATAAAATAAATGCTTGTTTCAGTTTCAAGCTGCTGATATTCATTCCTTATCGTATGTTGTCAGATGAGGAAATTGTGCAGTTCTGGTACAAAAGATGAGTAATATAAACAAATCTATAATTTTAAGGGCTTAACCTATGATTCTAATAAGAAGCTGGAATAGTCCACTGAATGGCTATAACGAATTGCAGTATATATGTATGATTGCTTTTTAAGTGATTATTTTTTCGTTTGTTAAATCATGTAAATTCTTAAATCCTTTTGCACTGATGTGTTGAACGTTATTGTACATTCAATTAAGGCAAACTTTTATAATTTACCTTTAGTTTTCAATGGCCTTGAAATGTTCTAGCATGGTATTCTATACAACTAGTTATACTTTGGGGTTGACACTGTATTTTTTCACATTGATTTAATGGTTGAGTGTAGATTTTCTCACCCGTCAGGGTTGTTGGTATGTAACTGTAGATGCATGTACTCATGTTTTGTGTAATCGTTGATGTGCAATGATGTATAGAAAAGTGTACTCACCAGTTTTTAAAAATAAAACATTGATAAAAGATGTTAGGAATAATATTCTTTATTCTAGTATCTTCTCTAAACTTAAAGAGGAAGCATTTTTCAATGCTTTCAAGTTCCTTAGTTCTGTATGTACAGAGTGTGTTAATTTCTCAACCCCATCAGTTTTCTTAGTTCCTTTTCCACTTCTTCCACAAATGCTGGGAAATTCTGATCCATGAGGCAGAAGCGGAGAAAGGGGCCTAACTCTTCCGCATTCCATGCAGATTGTTCATAGACAAGGGGCAGCTCCTCTGATGCCAGGAGAGACTGTGGGGATTCCAGAGAGTAGTTTATTAGAGATTACAGGCAAAAGCAACAGTCTCAATTACACAGAAAAACTGCCTTAAGGAAAGATTAGGGAAACACATACCAAAAATTAGTGTTAATGTTTCTAAATGTACATATAAGTGAGATAAACTTGTATCCTTAGGTGTTTGAAGTACGTTAATAAGATGATTTGAAAAGTTAAGAGCCTGCTTTAATAAAGAATACTGTGCTGATAACCTTATGTGGACTGATAAGAAACCTATCAGTGAATGAATGCCATCCACTAGCTAGTTCGTCAGCTGAGGGAATGGGTGTGAGCAGTTCATGTGTAATAAAGAGCAGCCACAAAGTGACCATCCAAAGGACCCATGTCTTTTTCTGGTCTTGTCCATAAGGTTGACAAATATAGAAAGACATATATACCATGAGCGCAATCATGACACAGAACATTTCCTTCCCCCCCCCCGAAAACTCCTTCGTGCTACCTACCTTTCTTTGTCAGACCATTAACCACCCCCCAACAACTGCTGATCTATATTCTCCACACCTTAGTCTGATAAATGAAGTAGTATAATGTTGAGCATTTTTTTTACATGCCTGTTTTCCATTTGTGTGCCATCTTTGGTAACTTGTGTTTTAAAACCAGTTGAATAAGTTACCAATATTTAAATTAGGGCAGTTCAATTTAAACTTGCTTAAGTTGAAACGTGCTTAGCAGTTTAGAAGAAATGGCAGCACTGACCTGATGGCAATGGGCACCAGCTCTGTGGTCCACCTACGTCTCATTTACTCCTCACACGAATTCTGTTAAGTAGGTGGTTTTTATACCTTTCCTATTGATGGGAAGGTTTGGTGTGTATGCATCAACTGACACTTCTCATAGTATAGAAACTATAATAGAAATTTACTTTTCTAAATTGAAGCCAGCTTTTCAGACTCTCCCTAATGGTGGGAAGAAAAACAATGAAAGTAACATGGAGCCCTGCTCTCCTGTAAGAGCCACTGTTAGCGTTAGAGTTCACCTTCTTCCAAGCCTATTGTGTGTGTGCATTTACTACAGAAATCAAGTCATACATGATGCTTTTGTTTTAAAAAATTGAATGTACTATGATTATCTTTCCAAGTCAATCGATAGGGATATATACACACACACACACCCGTCACTTCTATTGACTGCATTTTTGTCGCATCCATGGTTATTTCACACTTTAACCACTCGGTATCCTATCAGTGAACATTTATGTTGTTTCCAATTTTGTCGCTATAAGCAACACTGTGAACAGCACCCTTACATGTATGTTGGTGTAGCAGAAATAGAATTATAGGTAATAGATATGACATCGAATTTGATCTATATTGCTAGATTGCTTTCCAAAAAGTTATACCAACTTACATTCTTAGACTTGTCTAGAAGGTTAGAGCAAACAAGTAGCATATCTGAACTCCCACTGTGGTGCTTTTTCTAGTTTGTACATGGTTCTTCTCTACTATGTAAATAAACTGGGATAAGGTTACTTCTTTTATGGCAGCTGACATTTCCTGAAAAAGGACATCACACCCTGCCTTGTTCCATGTTTTTTTGTGCCTCTACCATCCTTAGCCACTTTGATTCAATTAACCTTTAACCCCAATGCAAATATGAGGCTACAAACTGGGCACTATGAAGTCTGCCCTACTGCCGGACAAAGAGGCTTTTGCATTTTCCTGTCATAGTTGCTGAGGAAGTTTTTTATTCTGTGGTTGCCATTTATTTTGAATTAGGGGTAAGCAGGTGAAAAAAAAAACCCATATTTTCTTCATATTTTCTTTTTTATACCACTTTCAGAACAGATTGATACATTAAAAAGAAAATTCATCCTTGAATATTGACAAGGATGAATTTGACATCCTTGAATATTCCACGTAGAATTCTGTGGAAAGTGTAAGCTGTTGGCCTGAGAGCCTGCTGGGGAGCGCAGCTGGACCACAGTGAGCAGACAGTCGTCAGGGGCTCCCAGCAGAGCACACACCAGGTACTGAGACCCAAGGAACAGGTTTAGGACTGTGGTAATGCGAACTGCAAAGGGAAAGGGAAGTGTGTGGGAACAGCTGAATCCTCCTGCGTTTCCACACATCCTAGCTGAGATCCTAGCACTGAAAATTTGCCCGTACAGAAACCATCAATGATCTTAACTCCAAATTCATATTGATATTTGTCTTAGAACAGTTCCCGAAGTTCTTCCCTTATTCTTCTTTTGGGAAAGTGGTAATTCTTTATCACACATTTCAAGGCTAACACTATACACTACTCTTCTGTTTCCTTAGGAGAACAGCTCTTCAGTATGTGTCATCATGCTACTCTCACAACTAGGTAGTTCGATGAAAATGGCCTGGCTCTGTCTGTAGCCTCTTCTATAGTACATTTCAGGTTACTATTCTAGAACAAGAGCGTGAACAGAGGGATACAAATTCTCAGAATCACTTTTTCGTGACAAGAAAACTGAACATGGAAATAAATACCTGAGCTAACCGGGCCACTGAGGCCCTTCCTCCTGGAGCACTTGTGATGGCCGGTGCACACTGTTGCTGCTCCACCTTCTGGTGCGACTGTAATGAGACAACTGCCAGTTAGGTGAACACCACAGGCCATTGAAGAAGTGGAAACACATGCATTCATGTTCAGAGAAAAAGTATCAGGAAAAGTCACTGTTGGTGTAGTCTGTCCTGATTCCAGCTGGGCTGTTACTTGATTTACCACAGCAGAACTATGCACAGAGTTTAAATTGGAGCTCCTGCCCTGTGCCCAGGGTTCCTCTGTCTCACAGGCTCTTATTGCTGCCTTCTGTCTGACACCACTGTGTTCTGTCTACAGAAGCCTGCTCTGGGACCCAGGGCCACAGGCTGGTACTGGAGGGCAGTAGATGTTGCCCAGCTTCAGATTATTGTGACGTATCACCTAAGAATTATTACTCAAGTAGAAAAGCAAAGCAGGAAAAGAAACACTATGACTCCAAGATAACAATATGTGTGTGTTTTTTTAAAATAAAACTGGGTTTAAAAAAAAAAATCATTTTAGACATTCTGAGGGAATGGGTTCTTAGACACCTGGTGATAAAGGGAAGGGAGCCACAAAGAACAAAGTAGAGGTCCAGCCCTCAGGAACACAGCCCAGTGGGAACCTTACCCTGAAACTGATTAGAACACAGCCCAGGAATTGCTGGGCCGGAGGCAAAGGAGGCAAACATAGGACTTCAGGCTCAAAGTGGAGGGAGTGAACTGGAGGGGGTGCCAGGCCTGAAGCGCAGGAATGCTCCTGAACGTGCCATTTGTAAGGAGGCTGTGATGTGCGGGGTTCTCAGCACACCGGGGACATGTTCCAGGCAAATACAATGAACAAGGTAGAGAAGGAGGCTGGAGGCATAAAGGCTGTGAGGGCTGCTTCCACCTAACAGCACTGGATGTGTGAGAGCCTCACCACTCCAACCTCCCAGCCCTGAGGTCAGTAGGTCTGGCTCTGGATCCTGTGGCTGCTGCAGTGCTCACCTCCAGACAGGTGCTCCCACCTCAGGTGTGAGCTGGTGGTGTCATAGGGAGAAACCAAGGACCTCTCTGGAAGGTACTGCTGCCTGTCACCAGCATGTCCTGGCTACCAGAAGGCAGAGGTGCCAGATTGTGTTTCCTGTCCTATATGGGAGCTGACTGTTGCTAGTCATTAGGTGTTAGCAGAAAAGTAGATCTGGAAGCATCAAAAACTGGGGGGATGGAGAGGAAGGAAAGAACAAATAGAAAACTAGTCAAGATCACAAAAATCAAAATGAAAAGGGAAGAGACTCAATGAAGCAGGCGTCCATCCTTAGGCAAGCCCTGTTTCTCTCTTCATTTTCCTCATCTGTAAAAACAAAAGTCAGGCTCTATTGCCTAGTGTTTCTTAGCTCTGATATTTGATATTTTCCTAGCATACATGACAATTCAGCTCACATCATGTTCTTCAAACAACTGGGAAAGCCATCAACCAAAAGCCATATGCCACAAACACTGAATAGTCAAATGCGACTGAAGTAACAGGCTAGTGGGGTGGCTCCAGGGTTAGACAGATGGTCCATCCAAACGCAGAAATGGAAGGTTCTGTGCACAGTAGATGGATTCAGAGAAAGGGAGCAGGATACCAGCCTGCACAGCAGCAGCTAGGCCTGCTTTGTCACTGTGATGACTGGGATCTAGGCAGTGCTTCACAAGGTCTGCACTGTGGTGAACCGACCCATGGCTACCCATGGCTTTCTCTTGTTTTCTCTGCAGCTGACACTCTGTCTTATCACGACCCTGTTGACTCAGTACTGACCCTTGCTAACTGATCAGGATGCTAATGTGTTCATTTACAGAGGAAGGCAGATCTGAAAGGGGACAGTACTGGCAATAATAGTGATAATAGGTGTTATTTAGATTCTGGCCAGGCATTACACTAGGTGCTTTTTATAGATACAGCATTTCAAATCTGTACAGATTTTACAGATGAAGTTCAGTGACTTGCATGAGGTCGGATCATGCAGCCACTAATCGGGCCATGATTCAAACCTAGATTCATTTTGGTTTCAAAACCTACAGTCTTTGCACAACTTCGTACTCTGTCATCTGTTCAGAACACCAAACTACAGCTCAGAGGTCCCTGAACAGAACTGAGAAAAGACATGAAATGGTTCCAGCCACCTTAGGGGATGTTTCTACCTAGATATTTGGACCAGCCTTTAAAAATCCAAGCCCTGGAGCCGCCTCCTGCTGCTGGAGCTCACAGCCCAGCCTGCATCTGTTACTGCACGTTACAGTTACGCTTTATATTTAGATAAGTGTGTAGCCTGATTTGTCTTCATTACTTTTATAAGGCATTCCAGACTTAGTTCCCAAGTGCTGGGGCCCTGTTTGGTTCCAGTTTTGTACCCTATGTACTGGTTACTATAATCTGAAGCTAAGACTGATCAATGAAACACAGCAAAAGGAAACCTATTTAAAGGGCAAGGGATCATACGCAATAAAGTACCTTATAACAAACTACTCCATCCCACTTGTAGCGAGGGGATTCTTAAAAAAACAGCAGGAGCTGATGAGGCATAATGTTTGAAACTAGGTCCAGGGTTGGTGAGAAAAGCAGTTTTAGCATTGACGACGTCATAAAAAAGATCACGCAGAAACAAATGAAGAGAAAGAATTCTACACCACCAAAAATCTGACTTAGCAAACTACACAAGAATGTGCTTAAAAAAAAGACTTTATGTAGATGGGAAAGGCAGAAATNACTCAGTACTGACCCTTGCTAACTGATCAGGATGCTAATGTGTTCATTTACAGAGGAAGGCAGATCTGAAAGGGGACAGTACTGGCAATAATAGTGATAATAGGTGTTATTTAGATTCTGGCCAGGCATTACACTAGGTGCTTTTTATAGATACAGCATTTCAAATCTGTACAGATTTTACAGATGAAGTTCAGTGACTTGCATGAGGTCGGATCATGCAGCCACTAATCGGGCCATGATTCAAACCTAGATTCATTTTGGTTTCAAAACCTACAGTCTTTGCACAACTTCGTACTCTGTCATCTGTTCAGAACACCAAACTACAGCTCAGAGGTCCCTGAACAGAACTGAGAAAAGACATGAAATGGTTCCAGCCACCTTAGGGGATGTTTCTACCTAGATATTTGGACCAGCCTTTAAAAATCCAAGCCCTGGAGCCGCCTCCTGCTGCTGGAGCTCACAGCCCAGCCTGCATCTGTTACTGCACGTTACAGTTACGCTTTATATTTAGATAAGTGTGTAGCCTGATTTGTCTTCATTACTTTTATAAGGCATTCCAGACTTAGTTCCCAAGTGCTGGGGCCCTGTTTGGTTCCAGTTTTGTACCCTATGTACTGGTTACTATAATCTGAAGCTAAGACTGATCAATGAAACACAGCAAAAGGAAACCTATTTAAAGGGCAAGGGATCATACGCAATAAAGTACCTTATAACAAACTACTCCATCCCACTTGTAGCGAGGGGATTCTTAAAAAAACAGCAGGAGCTGATGAGGCATAATGTTTGAAACTAGGTCCAGGGTTGGTGAGAAAAGCAGTTTTAGCATTGACGACGTCATAAAAAAGATCACGCAGAAACAAATGAAGAGAAAGAATTCTACACCACCAAAAATCTGACTTAGCAAACTACACAAGAATGTGCTTAAAAAAAAGACTTTATGTAGATGGGAAAGGCAGAAATTTTATTTTTTTAAAAATATATTTTTATTGATTTCAGAGGGAGGAAAGGAGGGGGAGAGGGAGAGAGAGAAACATCAATGATGAGAGAGTCATTGATCGGCTGCCTAGCCCGCAACCCTGGCATGTGCCCTGACCGGGAAACGAACCCTGATCGCCTGGATCCTAGGTCAGTGCTCAACTCCTGAGCCACACCCGGCCGGGTGGCAGAAATATTTTAAAATAGCCTTTTCAGATAATTGTGGACATTCTTTAGTATGACACCCAAACTCAACAATGATAGTTTCGTTTTAAACTTTTTTTTTTTTTTTTTTATATCTTTATTGATTTCAGAGAGAGGAGAGGAGAGGGAGAGAGAGAGATAGAAACATCAATGATGAGAGAGTCATTGATCGAGCCCACAACCCGGGCATGTGCCCTGACAGGTAATCGAACCCTGATCGCCTGGATCCTAGGTTGACACTTAACCACTGAGCCACGCCCGGCCGGGAAACAATGATAGTTTCTTAAAGGCTGCAACACAGTCTGAAAACACTGCAATGAACTCTGATATACTAAAACCCACTGGCCTGTCCTGCACTTTGAATAGATCTTTTTCCCATGCATGATTTTTTTAGCACCATATACATTTGATAATTTGGAAAATACTGGTTCCCTGAACTATACAGATCTTCCAAATGTTGAAACATTTTGTCATGCAATTATAAAAAGAAATCCCAGTCATAGCAGGTTTTCTCAGTAGTTAGAGCGTCGGCCTGTGGACTGAGGGGTCTCAGGTTCAATTCAGGTCAAGGGCATGTACCTGGGTTGCAGGCTCAATTCCTGGCCCCAGTTGGGGCACGTGTGAGAGGCAACCAATCGATGTGTCTCTCACATTGATGTTCTCTCTCTCTCTCTCCCCCTCCTCCACTCTCTCTGAAAAGCAATAGAGAAAATATCCTCAGGTAAAGATTAAAAATAATAATAAAGAGAAATCCCATTAATAGCAGCAGCAAAAAAGTCTGGGTTAGGAGCTGTGAACCTCAAATGGCTAATACAAGTTATCCAAGACTCGAATTTTCACCTGAAAAGCTTATTTTATCATTGTTGATAAATCCTATCAATTTTCCTGAAATGATAGACTCAATGTATTCATTTTTGAGAAAATCTCCACTAAATATCCAGCAATGATGAACACCTGAAGAAAGGCTAGTTTACCCCAGCACAATCACACAAGTGCTGTCCCTTAAAACAGTGTCGTGCTTCAGAATGCACCCGTCTATATGTGTTCTTACTGCCTGTGATGGGAGAGAATGTGGATTTGTGCTAAGGTGACAACAGTTTTGCTAACAATACTTTTGTCCCATTAATGCAAATATTGACAAAGTGAAAAGGCAAATAATGTCTTAATATTATTACAAAAATAATTTGGACTTTGTGGATCCCCAAAAAGGCCCAAGGGAGGGGTCCATGGACCACACTTTGATTACCAATGTTTCAGAGCGACATCCAGAATTCAGCTGGGACCCTCTCTCAGTCTAACTGCTAGGATTATAGGGAACTACAATGAAAATCAACCTTCAATTTAAGTCATTCAACATTAGATATTTTTTAACCTATATACCTGATGGACCTGACAAATTCCACTGTCATTCTGGCCCCCAGACAGCATGACCTGGTCAGGTTTCTTGTACAGCCAACGCACTGGCCTACTTACTCCGTGCTGCAGTGGGATGCTCGGCACACAGTCCTTCCCTCGGCTCCCACCTGCCCTCAATGGGCCAGGATCCCAGCTGTTCCCATCGGGCGCCTGGACAGTTACATACTGGGCCAGGCTCTGCACACAGCTGCTGCAGTGCTCCAGCGCCTGCTGCTTGGACTCTCCACTAAACTGTACCCGGAACATGCGACTCTTGTTCTGTTTGACAAATCGAAAGTTACTGTAAATGACCCTTGCTTGGAAGAAGTACAGGTAAGGGAGCATTCACCCTAGATTGTCGATGTGGGTATAGAAAAGCATTTAATCAGTTTTCTTCCCACTTTTGGGAGCTGTTCCTCTTAACTAAAATTTATTTCCTTCAGGGACCAGTATTGGTGAAAATGGAAAAGCCCATATCATACAGATCAGGAAGGTGACCATACTGACTGCAGTAAAAGATCAATGTCTTGTCTTACTTTGGAATAAAGATTACATAGCTTTTAATTCCTGAAGTAAAAAAATCAGTGAAGAATCAGAAAGAACATACGCACCCCGATGTTCATAGCAGCAGTTTATGATAGCTGAGATCTGGAAAGAGCCCAAGCGCCCATCAGTAGATGAGTGGATAAAAAAGCTGTGGGACATTCACACCATGGGATACTACGCAGCTGTAAAGAAGGATCTCGTACCCTTTGGGACAGTATGGATGGACCTGGAGAATACTATGCTAAGTGAAATAAGCCAGGCAGAGAAAGACAAACATCACATGATCTCACTTATACGTGGAATCTAAAGAACTTAATAAACTGATGAACAGAATAGATTCAGTGACATGGAAGCATAGATCAGACTGATGAATGTCAGAGGGATGGAGGAGGGTGGGTGGGTGGAAGGGAAGAGATTAACCAAAGAATTTATATGCATATATGCACAACCCAAGGACACAGACAATGGTGGGGAGAGGGACTGGGGAGGGGGA